GAAACAGACACTGAAGGATGAGACGATGGAGTCCACTTCACGGTGGGTGCTGTCACCCGACAACGTGGCCAGAGGCCTCCCCACACACCACACCACACCACACCACACACACACACACACACCCACCCCATCCCCCCAACCCCTCCCGTAGCTTGCCGAAACCTGTCACAGTTGTTTCTGGGGAGATAGAGAGTAGGCGAAAGACAAACTTATTTTTGCCCTGGATCCTTGTGGTTCTTAATGTGACAAATAGGACAGGATTCTCTTCTATCCAGGTTCCCTGGAAGTCCATGATTTCAACTGAAGACTTTATTTACCCCCGTTCCTGCTTTCTGTACCAGGTATCCTGTGCAAGTATTACCTGTTCCAACGAAGTATTTCCTAAAAGTTAGCCACGTGACAGGCAGGCAGGTGAGGGCTAACATAATTGCAGATGTTCACAGAAGCCCACAGAGGCCACCACCGGCCACGAGAGGCCCTCTGGGTGGCTCCTGCCTTCGTCGCCCATGGGAGAAACCGCCATCTGGCCCTGGCCTCGCAGAGTCTCTGTGACCCAGTTTTCAAAGCCAGTGCTATTTTTATCAAAGGCCAATTAGTTACATATACATTTTTAATAGTATATTAATTTCACTGCATCTACCCTAACACTGGATGGAATGGCCTCTCCTACCCACTTCCATCAGCTCCTGGCAGAGAACAAAAATCCCCAGCACAGGCCTCCAGCGCTTCTGGTCCTGTTCACACAGGTGACGGTCGACACGGCGTCTTCACTGGCGGTGCTGTCACCCGGCCACAGGCCGGAGAAGCCAGTGCATGGCGATCAGATCAGGGGTATGACATGTATTTAAAATGCAAACATAATTACAATGAACGCCTGGGTTTTGCTAGAATTTGTCTGCCAGGTGGCCTTCGGTGGGGAAGATAGCACCAGCCACACTGACGCTTGACAGCAGTTCTGAGGGTGTTAGAAAAAGCTAACTAGGAGACTGGCCCCATCCAGGGGAATGGCAATGCTCAGGCCCATTTATGGCTTCAAAATTGAAGCTCCACCCTAATTCCTGGTATCTCCCGAATGGGTACATTCAAAAAGGCACCTTTTGGACTTTAAAAAAATCTGTATGCTTTGAAACAGAAGAGTAGGACGTTGGCAGAGCCTGCAGGGCGGGTGCGGGGAGCTGTGTGCCAAACTCAGCTGAGTCAAGGTGACAAGGCGAGCTCCCTGCCTACCACCTTCTCCCCACATCTTCATTCCCACAGATCTAATGATTCAGAGACAAAATGTCAACTTGAGGCACCCCGTACCCGCCTGATTTCTTTTGACAGCCTGCATCACAAATTATCTTAAAAATTGAAATTAAGTATCTTTGAAAATGGGAAACAGACCCACTGTCCCAATTGGGAGGGAGGGGACTCGGGGACTCAATCTCAAAACTAAGATCAGGGTAAAATCATCTGCAAAGGGTGGGGGGGGGGTGTCAGCAGCAGAAACGGTCTCTGAATTTAAAAATACGAACAATGCGGACTATCAATTAGGCGACCAGGGCTTGGAGCCCATGTGCTGGCTCATCTGCAAGCTTTTTTTTTTTTAATGTCTGGCAGAATGTTTTACAAACTAAACCCAGCAAGACTACAATTCTACCAGAAGGTGCCTCAGATGGTTTTGCTAATAATTTTGATCAGCTGAAATGGAGAAAAACATCATTTCAATTATTCACTTTTCAAAACCGTCAATTTTAAGTTGGAATATGAAATGCCCCTTCCTTCCTCCCTCTATCACCATCAACCAAACAAGCCCCCAAAAGTCTCACAGAAAGGAAAAGGGGACAGGAGTGGCAGTTTGGAAGATGTTAATACGTTACAAATTATTATCAACTAGAATTTCTGGCCCCGGGAAAGTTGAGTCCAGCTTTAGGCATAACTGCTCCAAGGGAGTGAGCTCCTTGAGAACTTGGGGTGCGGGGGACTGGCGTGGCTGCCGCTGCAAAGATTTAAGCGGGAACCACCATATATTGGCTTTTGTTTTAATAGCCTTTTAACCAACTTTGTTAATGGACTGAATGCAATTTAGATATGGAACTTGGCTAAAACGTAGCTTCAATTGGCTATTAAAATTTAAGAGCCAGCTAAGATAGCTAATTACAAAAAAAAAAGCTCCAGTGATAATGCTAAGCAGAATTAGTAATAGCAAATGACAGTCTGTCTAGTCTTATTCCCATAGGGAAAGAAACTCCTCACTGAGAAGTCAACCAGACAATGTGCAGCAAACCTAATTGCATTACTGGTATTATGGCGTGCAAAGCTGGCAGCTCCCTGGGACAGAGCGGGAGCAAAGTCTGTCAGGATCCAGTCAGAAAGCACTGACCCTCTTTTACATACCACTTAGAGCAGGGGCCAGGGAATTTTATTTTTATTCACAGTTGAGGGGTGTTCTCTGACGGAGGAATGTTCCCGTAAAGAGCCCGGCCAGGACAGAAATGGCTGGACGTCGTCCCTCTGCTAAGCCCAGCTGGAAGGGAAAAGACCTTCCACAGAATCAGAGTCTCCCTTCGTATATTCAGGTCTTAAAAAGGCAACAATAAATATCTGACTGCTAAAAAGTTGAGCTTAGAGTGGGAAAAAAACGTTCTCCTTCTCTGCTTCATTACCGATCGCCTCGTTCCAGCGGCGGCTGCCGGCGAGCTCTCCTGTGAGGATGTACCGTGTGCGGGGCCGCTTGGAGTCGGAGGTACTGAAGTCTTTAACATTCCCCAGTCAAGTGTCTCCCTGCTGTGCCTGTAAATGTCAGTCCAGTTTTTTCACGGCTGTGCGCACAGATTAGAAACAGCGGGAAGCTCAGAGTATGACTACAATGCCAGTGAGGACACTCGTCTTCGTGGCTCAGCTCAAGTGATTCTTGGAATGCAGGACCCCGCTGTTTTCTAATATTTACACACAACTGGAGTCATCAAGAGCAGTAAATGCAGCCTAGAGCTTGCCTCTTTTGTTAGGGACTTTACATTCAAATAGGGGTATCAACAATAACACCAAAAAAAGAAAAAAGAAAACTCCACCATTTGAAAAGTTTCATATCCCCCCGCCTTTCTGGCTGCTAAAAGACCAAGCAGGTATCGCCAGGGCTGCTCACTTAGCTGGACCCTTCCCAACAGCCTCTCCGCGCACCCCGCGGCCCTGGAACAGCAGGTGCCGCACATTCTTGACCTGGAAACGTGTTTCGGCTGCCACGGTTCCTCGGACCTCCGCCGGGACAGGCAGGGACAAGAAAGCCATTTTGGTGCCACTGCAGCCACCTTGATCTGCTCTCAGAACGCCGTTGGGCACACCTGGACTTACCTGGGGGTAGCAGCACCAGGCACGCAGACGGCTGTTGTGAAAGAGGAGTGAGGGACCCCCCTGGTACTGTATGCGTATCTTAAAAAATGTCTGAACGAGCCTTCTTTACACTAAAATGGCAGGGTAAGCCATTTATTTTTGTCATAAGCTTTAAAATAACTGCCAGGGATTCTGGAATGGAAACTCCAGGGTGCTGGGAAGAGAGTGACTGTGCGGGCACCAGATTCTCCCCTTAGCGCCCAGCGCGACCGACTGGACACACGCCAGACTCCGCGGGGCACCCACTCGGGCCTCAGCAACACGCTTTACAAGAACAAAGCTTTTGGGGTTTGGTTTTGCACCTGGGGGAGGGGCAGTGGAGATATGAAAACGCCCAGTATATGAAAGTCTGCTTAAAGATCTTGAAGGTACATTTCTCCATCTAGAAAAGTTCAAGAGATAAACTGTTTCTCTTCTCTCCTCAGTCCATGGGAAGCACCGGGCCTACTGGAGCGTAGCCTGCCTGGACCTGCCCGGGGCTTGGCTGGGTGCACCCGCCAGGGGCCTGGCTTGCTCTGCCTGTGATGTGGGACACAATGGGCCCGGAGGGGTTGGCTAAGGACATGCGACAGGCACACAACTGTAACAGTTCTTCACTTGCTTCTAAAAGACACCAAAGGAAATCTGCAGAAAACTCCTGCCCGCTCCAACTCTGGGTTCAAGCCTTGAAAACCCCTTCCAGCTCCCATACTCCAGGCACAAAGATTATCCTCTAGGGTGCCTCCACTCAGTGCCCACCATTCAGACTCCTAGCAAATGTAGACTTAATTACGTCCACATGAGGGAAGAGCTTTCTGAAGATCATCTGCAATGGTTCAAAGTAAAAGCAAAATTTCTCAAGGCAGAAACTTTACAGTGAACTTCACGATGAGCCCAACCTACAATTCTTGATGACTCCGTGGAGGCCGCGAGATGCTCTGCCACAACAGGGTGGCAACAGTGAAGTGGCGAGAGCATCACCTGCCTGACAATAACGCCCAGGTGAGGGCTGCCCCCTCTGGTCCAGAAGCCCTGCAGAGCCTCTACCGCACACGCGGCGGTGATTCTCTGATACGCCTGTCCAGGGTGGGCTTTCAGGCGACCTGTGCGCCACACCAGCAGAGCCGAGTGAACAGAATAACCTGTGGAACCTATGAAACCCACAAAGCTTTACTTAGGCAACAGTTATAACTGGGGGAAATTTCGTAGGTATTATGAACAGAATCCAAAAAAGGATGAATGTTGGATTCTTGACACAGTGGTGAGATTGTGAGTGGATTTTTTTCATTTTGATTTCAGCTCATGTGCTCTGGCCAGTAAGTAGGAATTAGTAAGTAAAACGGCATTCACCACATCAGCGCAGTGCTGGCCAGGAACAGCACATCAGTGAAACAGAACAGCCCAGAAGCAGACCCTGTGTGAGAGCTCAGTGCATAATGGAGCAGGCATTGCAGACCCAGGAGGCGGGAAGGCAGGACAGAGACTGAACAAATGGTCCGAGAGCTACGGTGCGCTATCTGGAAAAAATCCATGGGGATCCCTACTTCACTGCTCACACACCAAAAATTAGAGGCCCTATAAAAAGAAGTCTAGAAAAAGCCAAGGGAAACATTTCTGATTTCAGGATAGGAAGTGTTTTTAAACACTGGGAAAAATCACCACGAAAAAGATTTAGTCATAAATTTTTTTTTAATTTGTCAACAAAAAATAAATCAGCAGCAAACTTTACAATGGGTTAAGAGCCTTACTAAACAAACAGTACAAATACACCAAAGAGAACATAGAATGTTTACAAATAAAAACTTGCTCGGGTTCATGAGCAAATAAAAAATGATATTTTCAGGCCGAAAAACCAGGAAAACCGTAGGATGCCAAGATGTAAGCCGGGTCCCAGTCGCTGGGCGCTGCACGGAATGGGCTTTGCAAAGCGACGCGGAGGTGAGACCCCATCTGTATCGCCCGTCGTCTCTGACTCAGCAGTTCCTTTTGAAAATCTGGAACTCTCTGTACCCACAGACGAAGACATCTGCCCACAACCCCAGAAATAGCGCTGGTCCTGCCCCAACGCTGAGGACAGCAAGGGCCCGACAGCTGGGAAAACACCAAGGGCACCTACGATGCACGTTCATAAAGCACCTCTAACAACAGAGAGAGCAACGCTAGGTTTTAAAAGGCAGAATAAAGTTCTGTATGAAATATGACAATTACCTGAAGATAAAACTACACAGAAAAGCCCAGAAGTTGTCCACCCACAGGCCGAGGTGTCCAGGAGCGGCGGCAGCCCGGCTACTGTGCCTTTTGCCTCCTTTCTGTAAAAGTCCTACAATCACCATGAATTATCTGTACAGCTTTCAAGTCAGAACACTGAGCGCTAAGAGCAGAACCTCAGAGAACAAGCAAACAAGTAATAGACACATACAGACACATCACTTACTTATGTTCCCGCCATGATTCGCTGCCTTGCGACTCAGTGTTTAGCTGCACCCTCAAGTGGTCATCTGAAGACACATCTGGGCATGGCTGGCCTGGCCTCCAAGCATCTTACCTGTCTTCAGAATCCCTGCTGAAGAGCACCTGGGAGCTACTTCATTTCAGGGCTTGGCCCATTACAAAGATTTGCCAGCTGCTTTCTAGAAAATTCAGAGTGTGAGCAGCTCCTATGACATGAAGGTCAGGGTCTGACCCAGGGCTGCTGCCCCGCACAGATAGCCTGCGCTCACTCAGGGCCCAGGAAAACAGCCGTGAAGGCAGGCAAGGTAGGCAAGGTGGCACGACGCATGCACAGGAGAATGTGGGAGTCAAGGGTGATGGGAAAATCAAGGAAGAACTGAAAAAGGCAGGAATAAGCATGGCTCCAAGAGACAAAGAGGAGACTTAGCCTTTTTTTTTTCCCCTTCAATAAAGAGGATAAGAAGACCCAGTACAAGGCAGGAACTAAAGCAGAGTGTGGGACTGGGGCCCAAGGATCAGACCAGCTCCTATGGCCACTAGGTTTTCATTTCTGCAGACCTGCCAATAGAGTAACATTCGAGAAAATGCCAGCACTTGTTAAAAACAATATGTGAAGAAATATTTGTTTTCTTAATATTTAACCAACAGGTTTTGCTGTTTTTGTGTTTTGAAAAATAAAAAAGGCTAAGGCATATACACAAAACACACCACACACATTTTGTCCTATTTTAAGCATCAATGTGTTTGAAACAGAACTTGAGAGTTGATTTAGGTGTTACAAATAAACTTGGGACCGTCACACTGAGTACTAAAATCCAACTCTGTACAGGAAACAGGAGGCATCCCCACCCAAAGTCCAGTCCTCAACCCCAGGAAGACACAGAGCCGAGGGCTTCAGAAGGCACTGGAGAGGTTACTCCACGAGGCAATCCGCAGATGTTTTGCAGTTTCAATATGTGCCAAGTTCAGTGGTAACAGCCTCACGTGAGAACTGAACATCCAATCACAGCAAGGTCTGCAGTCTTCGTGTTGACTCAGAGCTTCGCAAACTTGGTACAACCCTCACCCTTCCTGAAATGTCTGATACTACCTATTTTCAAGTCAACTCCCTTCTTTGAACACTGAAATACCTCTTTAGGGATCTCCTGCACAGTAGCAAAACCAGTTTAATGTGCAACTTATATGTTGAATAGTTACAAAATAAATGCTTACATCAACAACAGTGTCTCTCCACTATCTTAAAAGCCACGCCCTCTCTAGCAGGGCTAAGGTGTTTACCACCCGATGGGTCCCAGAAGGAGCTCTTAAAATTGTTCATAAATGTTTTGATTCCAAGCTTAGGGTCCCTAAGGCAATAAAATAAGCCCACATCTTAAAATGTTTAATCCCTAACATCCTCAGATGGTTGGCTTACCATCCAAATATTATGTAATATAAAAAAATGAAACCTGTAAGAAAAATAATCTGTGAGCAGACAAGAAGCTGCATCTATACAACTAGTTTACAGGACCTTCCTCACAGGGAGGTCAGTCTTTTAAAATCTTTGCTCTGCCATCACTTGATAATGTGTCACCTTCCTCTTACCACACAGCTAGCATGATGACATGGCTCTTCTGTAATGTACCTTTAATGTCTATTTTCTCTCTCATGGATATACGTATTCACTTTGTCTTTCACAATCCTTTCCCTTTTTTGTACTCTCATTTCATACAGCAGGTGTTTAATAATGCTGTGGTACTGAACCAAATCAACACAAATCAAACCTTATGGCAACAACAAATCATGTGCTTCTATCGAGCAAAAAGAGACTTTATTTTCAGCTTTGTATATCCTTAAAAGTAGGGGCAGGGTCAAACATCCTTCTACACGCGCAGAAACACACAACCCTCAGAAAGTGCATATCATCATGATTTCTCATGTACTCCAGAGCTTCACACACATACAGTAGGAGGCTCAAAGACTAATTTCCAGATTTTGGAATTTTATAAATTAGCCCTTAATAAATTGTACAAAGTATTTATTTTAATTTTAAAAAGTTTAGCTTTCAAAGACACAGGTACTTCATTATTCTCCCTACCCCACAAGACTCACATGAAAATAAGACACTAAAAATAGAAAAAGGCAAATGAAAGAAAGAAACTGGTTCGCACAGCATTATTTCTGGACTCTCTTTCTGGTTTTTGAACCTTGAAGAGAAAACAAAGAAATCAGAATCATTAAATTACAAAAGCAAAACACAAATGTATTTCCATATATAGTCACTGTTAATTAAAAATCTAATAGACTATGATGATCTGTGGAAATGAAAAGGTGTAACTGTTAATAACCTGAAAATCTAAGAAATTATGTTAATTTTTTAATATGCCAAAAATATGCCAACAAAGTCTATCTTCTAATCTTAAGTTAGATCTTTCACTGGTAAAACATATCCAATTCACACCTGCACTGAAATATTTCTCTCAAAACATCTTACTGTATGATTTAGAACATTAGCTCCTAATGTAAATGCAACAAGATAAGCATTCGATCCTGGGGGGAGAGCCAAGGTGGTTATGCGTGATATGAAATGCAAGGAATTTCATTCTAAATTGTGTTGCTTTTTGAAGCCTGTTACCCCTACTCTGGGCAGGAGAACAGTGGGCTATTCCAAAACTCAGTGTCTTTTTGCACAGGGATTTAAAGTCTTCCAGAAAAGCATCCCATCCATCCCACGCTGCGGTACAGGTACCTGGGACAGCTCCTTCCCAACTCCTCTGGGCTAGAATGCTGCAAGGACTCTGCAGGGAAACTTGGGGATGGCCTCAGCAAGGAGACTTAATTGTAGTTCCCTGTTCCACCCCAGCCCTGAGCACAGCAGGGAGCAGAAGCACGAGGGCTGGTCTCAAGTGCCAGGCACTGGTGAGCGCCCCTCCCCAGCCACACACCCTCTCTGCCAGGGAAGAGGCTCCAGCCCCTCCATGTCCATCAGCAGAGGCGCTACCAACAAAGAGATCGATGCTCCTTTTCTGAAATGCACAAAACGTGCTTTGAATCTAGGGCAAAATATCTACCACACACATCGTCTAATAATAAAGTTTCTAAAGGTTTTCTGATTACAGGTTTATTTAGTTACTTAACTGGAAGATCAGTTTGAACATTAGTGCTATTTTTCCAAGCTCCAGTTCCTATTCAGTTCCCATACACTTTCAATTATAGGAAACTTTAAACTTAAATGAATATATATTTTTTCTGTCATTCATAATGCACGGCCTATTTAAGGTTTAAACTTCTGAGTTTTTTCTTCAATTTTTGTGAAATAGTCTTCTTTGTAAAATATTCCATGACAGAGTTTAATTTCTAATTTCAAAAATTTTGAAATTAATTTTGCATAGTGAATGTGATTCTCATGAAATTGCCATACTCAGATATCACAAAACTTAGGTCAATAATCAACACTATAGTTTCTCTCCCCTTCAATTTTGACTCTACGGTCACATTATAAGCCACCAAGAATGATCACAGCACAACAATGGTCACTGATGCCCTAATGCGACACATTCATCTTAAATGCCATTGCTGCTTGTCCCCTTCAAGGTAGATTTAAAGTTTTTCATTGCAGCTGAAAATGCTCTCACTACCTGGAATTTATTACAGAATCAGTCTAAAGCAACTCAGAGACCTCACCGCATGTACTGATTCAGTATTTCTCCTAATATTCAATTCTGATTGTTGCAGAAAAATCTGTTTTCTCTTCTCATCTCTTTAAAACGTATACCCATCTCCATGGTACATAACTACTAGTAAAAGGTATAGTCAAAGACAAACGTGTAAATTTTAATGTTTGAAAATACACACGTCTTGAATACTGCACTGTGATTTATAGTGCTGAAGGAATTCAAGTAGGAAATTTCTTTACAGATCGACCTTAAAGATCTCTTTCTTGACTAGGCCACAGATACTCAGGAGGTGAACAGATCATAATTTCCTGAAAGAAAATCCCTCAGAGTGGTCCAAAATCCAAGGTACTTCCAAGTACGAGAGTAGATTGTTGGCTGTGTCCATCTTATGAACAGTAGGGAAAGGTACACTAGCCATATGGATCATGACTACATTAACTAATTTTTAGTACAATTTTGAAATATTGGCATGGTTTTGAAATGCTAGAATATGTGAGTTTTATTTAAGGCTTATCTTTTTTTTGGGGGGGGGGAATTACTTGCAGCAAATAACCAAATTTTCTCAATTGGTAAAAATTATGCCTTGCATAAAAATAAAAGGATTAGAGGCCTCTGTTCTTCTTGAAAACCACCCGTCACCCCCGCTCTTTCTTTGAGAAAACCTACACAATACACATTTTGAAAGCTTTCAGAATGTGTTCTTACACAATAGACCCCCAACTAGTCAAAATGAGTTTAGGTGTATCAAGAAAATTATACACGTTTTTAAAATGGTCTAAATAGATATTAAAGGAAAGTTGCTCCCATTTTGCTAGGCACAGCATTCTGAAAGATCACACAGTGAGAAAAATCTCTTACCATATTGTAAACCATAAATTGTGTTTGAAAATAAAATTGTTAATGAAGAAACTGACATTTCTAAAGCTGCTGTTAGAGGTAACCATTCTTGAAACACGTTTATGTCACACAATCTTAAAGCTCTGAAACAGAATTCACTGAATTATATATTTCTTTATAAAAAATTTAAATGTGATCAAGTGCCTTCTCCTTCAAGTTACTTTAAACCTGATATATACAAATATATACATTTTTACTTGTCCATGCAAAATCAGGCAACATTTCCCTCATTTATGAATAATTAGATAGTAAAATACCTTACCTAGCCTTATACTTTGGGGGAAATAATGAATCACAATTGGAAAATAAACAGCGTTTAAATCAAGCGATAGTTCATAGGAATGAAGTTAGAATTTGAGCTTTCTTCATCTTTTTTATATTAAAAAACCCTCAATCCTTTTTAAATTAGCGATGGGGTCTATTCTTTTGTCATTAACAAAAACACTAGTTACATAGTCTCACAGAAAACTATCAGCATAAAGACCTTTTATTAAATTTTAGGTATAAACCCTATTTTTCATGATTATAGTCGACTTAAAGTCACTTATACACCAAAACCCCTCTGCTGTTCCTAAGCAAGACCAGGCAGCGAATGCCCACAGGCAGCAGAGGGAGACGCGACTATGACTGCGCTTTGGTTGAAACCAGTATCAACTTCACTGCAATAACGCCGAAGCTGACAATGCCAGTTTTATAATTGAAGGGATTTTTTTTCAATAAGAATTATTACTCTATCTTTAAAAATGTTCCTTAATTTCGCTGCCACTCACTGTCACAGCTGCTGCTGCCAGCCTCTGGCTGAGACATGCCTCGACGTCCTGCTCCGGGAGCCTCCTCACTGCCTAATAAGGAAACGAACAAGACAGGGATGGGGAGGCGGTGGGGGTGGGAGGCGGGAGTGGAGAAGAAAGGAGGGCCACTGCTACACCTTCAGCTCCTGACTGAAGTGATAACCCCTCTTCAGATACCCCAGGATTCCTGGCGTGAACTCAGGAAAACCTATGAATGTCCTAGCCAGACTCCACAGCAAAAACGTGCTAATAAACACGAAAACGCATCTTGCTCAAAGTCCAGCTTCTGCTCTCCACAGAAACGCATGGGGCCGCATCAACGGAAGCGCAACATCTCGCTGGCCTGACTCGACAGGGCTTTCACGCGCTAGTGACATTTTAGCAAAAATAAACCTTTGCTATGAAAAAAAAAATCAAACATTTCATCAGTACCTACCAAATAACAAGATGCAAGCAGATAAACAGGAGCGACTCAGAGAGAAAGGCACTGTTCCGCACAGACCCTCCTCAGCGAGCACAGTCAGCCAACTCTCACGGAACCACACACACCTGCCCTGTTGGGGACCAACCATGGGTGCGCCCACACATACAGGCTGGCCACTTCATTAACCAAAGTCCAACCAAGTGCCACCCCTTGCGAATGCTGCCTTTGTGGTGTCCTCTCTGAAACCACCCACACTGGACATGCCTTCAGCATCTAAGTACTGACTTTACACCCTGCTTTTCCCTTCAAGAGCTTTCGAAAGTAATGATTCCAGGCTTCGATGCCTCACTTCCCAACTGCCTGAGACAAAAGAGTTGGCAGAATTTACAGGGAACCCCAAACAGCCAGGGCCAGGGGACCCTGTCAGGGGTGATGGCCCTTGGTTGGCCCCTGACCCGCCACTCCCCAGCAGCCCCATCACATGGTTTATGTGTGGAGACAATGGCCCAAGAGGTCAAGCTCTGCTCTCCAGGTCTACCCTGTCACATTGGCTGCCGTGCCCATGCTCAGGGTGCCGCCGGGTCCCTAGCTGCAGAATGAGAAGAGCTGCAGCCCCACATTGTGGCTCCTGTGCCCAGTCAAGAACAATGTGTGTTCAAAAGATTGGGGTGCACACCACAAGAGAGCTCCCCCTAATGTCCTCTGGGTGACAGCCCAGAGTCAGCCCCTTGGCTAGTGGAAAGGAAAGAATCTGTGTTTCTGCAAGGATGGAACTAATACACAAGACTGTTGGACTTACGAGTCTGCGTGGCCGCCTCTGTCTGCGCATCCGAGCAATCCATATCTTCAACACTAGATTCGGCGTTGTCCTCCTTCTCTTTCTTTCGCTTTTTACACATAAAAAATTTAAAGAGAAACAGAGATGTGGTTTGACGGTCAAGTAAGTAAATACACAAACTTACTGGCCATTGGCTTATGCGTGAATCTGGGCACAACACAGCAAGAACACGTTCAACTTCAGGGTGATGATTACCCGGGGTGGGGGAGAGGCTGAAGGACCTGCTACATGATGGGTGGGTGTTCACGCCCCCCACAACTGTTGCACCTCACACAGCGCATCGCTGAAAGCCACAGATTACTCATCAGGACTGATTACACAGAGACGCTCTTAAAGCAGAGTATTTTCCACATTGGATATCACCCTCACTCAGGCCAAGGACACGTCTTCTCCCCATTTCACAGTGTTGGGGGACAGGGATCGACTTGATCAATGGGAAAATACATGCCTTGAAAGACTGGTGGTAAAACTCTATGAATCAGTAATGGCAAACTACTAATACACGTCTTCTTTTGGTGTATTTCTTATTACAATTTTAAGACGGTCATAGACAGTACTGTAACGTTAGAACTTAAAAGTATGTGGCTTTCCTAAAATCTCAGAAACAGGATGGGTTTTCCCCCCGTCTCTGAGGCCTTTCCTATTTTCACAGAGGTTCCTAGCTGAGCGGTGCTCGGAGTTAGTGCTTATGTCCCACCACCATCCATTCTTCCCAAGTATTCATTCGGTTCCTTTTTATTACTTTCCACCACTATAACATTTTCTAACTAGTCAATCCCATGTAAAGTTTAAAGTGCTCACCATTGCTACATGTGGGTGAAACTACAGGATATTAACTATAGAGTTAGAATGTGGTGTTTTCATAGCACTTTATCCCAAACAGTCTCAAATACAGATGTGTTAAAATCCAAATTATGACTCAAAGCTTCTCCAGCTTGCTGAACTAAGCTGTATCATTTAGGAAATTATCTGATCCTTCCCAAATTTCAGAGACTGCAATGTAACAACATTCTTTCTCACAATTAGAATGAAGCTCAACTCGCTGGAGACCGCTGCCCGGGTAGCAACCGTGAGAGCACCATCTCTACCAGCAGCACATCACCCTTCCCTAGTGGCAAACATGGCCGCTGTTCCACAGAGAACCATGTGGGAAAGTTCTATTTGAATCCTATATCTTAGAGCCTCCAAACGGTCACAACTGTAATTATCTATGTACTACAATTAATTCTACTGTTTCCAAACAGCCTTACGGTGGCTGTGGCAAGATGAGAACTCAGAGAACCTGCCATGTTCTGAAAGAAAATCCTTCACATATACAAAAACGACAACTTGACTAACCTTAAGAAACTTTCAAAGGCACTCACTGACAGACCTGTGCAGGGCCTACTGCTGTACGAGTGGCTGTAACTTCGTGTAACTGATGAGGGAAGGGGAGAGTGCCTTACATCTTCCCTTCCCAAAGTGTTGCTTCATGATTACCATCTAAACCCTGCTGGGCTGAACAGATTGGTTCGATAATTACATACAATAACTGCAGTGGGCAGGTAACCCTCAGCTGGCACAGGGCAGCTCCCCTGTGAGAACTTCCATATGCAAACTGCACTGATGGAGTGCATTAGGTACATCTTTCCTGCCGGTGCACAGGCCTGATTAACGCCAGCCAAGACTCCAAGGTTAGCATGTCAGCAGATTTGTGATGCATTAGGCAGGAATAAACACAGACACTTTTGTTCGTTCGGACCAAAATTAAGGAGGAATATTTCAGAACTATATTGCTTTCCCATACAGGAGCGAATGCATTTTCCAGTTTCAGGAGGGCAGATTTTTAAATGCTCATTATAAAGAGAGCTATCCAATACATTCTACCCCAGAACCTAGTACATTCATCTTGTTTTCAAGCTTATTTAATAAAAAGGAGCTTTCTTAATCTCCAGGCAGGTAAATTACACAGGAATGAAAATCAGACAGTATTCAACCAACAAAAGAAACACCTGTGTTTTAAGCAGCATGCTTTGCGTAAAGCGCTGAATTTCATTAATCGGCACTTCAGCTGGTGTCTCTGGCCTGACTCCTGCAGCCTGTGGTAAACTGGAGAGGAGAGGCCAACGGTCCATGCACTGGGCCCAGTTTTAAAAAATAAAATAGGGCCTCCCTGGTGGTGCAGGTGGTTGAGGGCCGCACTGTGAAGTTGTCCGCAGCCTCTGCAGCGCGGGTTCGATCCTGGCCAGATGGTGAGAATCCCACATGGCGCAGCAGACCTCTCCTGTCTCACCCGCTGCTCCCCTCAGCAGTGTATTTCGTCAGTCTGCCTGTTCTGTTCCCCGCTCTGTCTCTGGTGAATCCTCTCACCCTTCTGCGCATCTGGCCTGTACCCCGGTTCTTGTATAAAAATTTAAAAAAATAAAATCTTTTAAAAAAAAATTAAAAAAAAAAACAAGTTTAATAGATCTTAAGTATGTTACTCACTTTATAAGGCAACAAGTAGAATTTCAAACTATTTCTTGCCAGCTTTGCTCCTGATTACCTGTAAACACCTCATTTGGTTATTTGTCAACATCCAAGCCTTCACGTGGTGCATACTGTGGATCTGCAAACCCACCCCAATCTCACTGTGCTGATCCCTGATCCTGTCACATTCCACGCCGGGTCTCACGGGCCTTTATTTACATTTATAAATGAAAACAAAGTATCGCATGACACACAGAATAACTTATAAAATAAACAGGATTGGGTTTTCTTTTAGTTCAGCATGGCCAAAAGATGCTCCAAAGTTCAGGTTTCTGTCCAAGGGCGTGTAGTACGCACACACTGCGGAGGTGTTCAGAGACACCAGGCTGTACTTGACGATGTGCACTCTCTCACTTCCGGTTCAGAAACAGGAAGGTAAATCAGCTAGACCCACCTGGACTGGTAACTCACCAATAGTCCAAACCCTGACAGGAGACCAGTACAGACTTAAAGCTGTTCTAGTGGGCGAGCCTGCAGGTGGCAAGGCAGGCCAGGGTGGTGGGGCCTCCCAGCCCCCAGTGACTCTTTATGCTTCTCTCTCTGAGTTGTCTTACAGTCTCGCCTCTTCTGTAGTCACTCGTCCTCTTGTCTCTGAGTGACGCCGCCCTTATATCCCTGGCCTCTAGGCTCAGGTGTACACACTTATGCATGCCCACACCTATACCCCAGGTGTCCACAATCAGGCACACGTCCCCCAAGCCCATGCAACCAAGCGCCTTCTGCATCAACACGATTAAGACTGCAGGTGACAGCCACAGAGGCTCGTGGTGCAAAAAGCCTGACCGATCCATTTACCCTACAGTTGTTTTAATGGGAAAGGAATAAAAATCTTCAGAAGCAAAACGTGAAGACTGATTCTTTGCTTCCCAAGTGAAGCATTAAATGACCACCTCTAAATGCTTTCAACAGCCTCTAAGACAGCCCATCAGATGCACAGCCATATCAGAGGAGACGGTGAGTCAACAGTGACTGTTGTGGGTTTTATCCCCCCTTATTACAAAGGTCATAAATATTCATAATAGAAACTAAGATTATGCCACCAAAATCTTTAAATATTTGATACTGCGTGTGTCAAAGAACAAAACTCTAAATGCAAATACATAACTGCATTCATCACTATTTTGTCCTATTTTATTTACTTGACCAAGGCCACCTGAAATCACCATTCAAATGGACACAATTTTCAAATTACTATTCTGTTCTTTTTTAGTTAAAAAAAGATTGGCCATATCTTCTACAAAGATAAAACAACTGTGTTTTATTTACTACAATATTCAAGAGATGAGAGGATTTAGTTAAATTCACTATACACACACAAACTGGAACAGAAGAGAAGATTCCGCACAGGCCCAGTGTTTCCCAGCTGGTGATGCTGAAATTTACTAGAATTCAGGGCTCTTTATTCTTCCCACAATACTCTTTCCACAGAACGAGCCGTCCCCCAGCTGTAAGCCTCTGGCCTGAGGGGTGTCTGTGCAGCCACATGGAAAGGGCCCTCCCCAAAGCACCAGAATCCACCCTGCACCCCTGCCGCGAGGCTCCCTGGGGGCAGGCGCTAGGCTCTGCGTGGTGATTTACACAAGTATCGCTGGATCTGCACCTGGCCAGCAGCTGGTGCAATGATAGGAGATGATTTCTCATTTTACCCAAGCCTCTCAAAACCGCGCAGGGTTTAAATGGACACACACACCAGCTATGTTTTGGGAAAAAGAAGGAAAAGTGAGGCATCATCAGAAGATGGGATGTGAGCTGAGAGATGAGTGACTTAAACAGAGTCTGAATTGGGAGAATCCAAAAATATTCTTCTGGCGTGCGTTAAATTGATTTATTTTCAATGAGTCTCAGCAATAAAGGCTGAAGTAACACCAAATATTCGATCTCCGCCCACGACAACACCGGGCACATCCCAGAGGGGAAGACTACCGCGTGGTTACCAAGTTCTGGGTGCCTGGCACGAGACAGGCTGCACGCTCAGGTTGAAAAAGAAAAAGAAAAAAAGACACTGAAATAGATGAAGCCAAAAGAATAGCTTTAGTTTTCATAAAGACATTAAACATGCACAACTTAAATTTCTAAACCCCTGTCCATGTGTAAGGGCAGGAAGGGGCACGGGGCAGGTTTTCTATGATCCCAGCAGACCGGGTAAGGAGGAGTCCTGGAGGCCTCGGTGGCTTTTCAGGCTTTTATTGGGATTTACCAGGTACACGGCAGGCAGGGGTGCTGGGGGACCGGGAGGTTGGCAGGCCTCCCAGCCCCCAGCAAGTCTTCACTCTGTCTGGGCTCTCTCTCGCGGTTCTCTGCTTTCGTTTCTCTGCTTCTGCTTCTACTGGCGTCCCCGTGACGCCACCCTTAAAAGCCCAGTCTCAGCCCAGATGAATCCCGTCTACATGTGCCCACACCCTACTCCAGGTGCCCGCCATCAGGCATGCATTCGGGACCGCAGGGTTCCGTCATCTATCCTAATGGTGGGAGGGCTGAAAAGCCTGATGCTTTTTACCTTACTCTACACCATGCAAGCCCCATCAGAGACCATTTCTGGCC